ATAAAATTATCTTTCGAATGAGTATACAAAAAGGAATTGAGCGATTCGAATCAAAATGCAGTGCCCATGAAATAAAATATTATAACTAAACTATGAATGCGTACACAATAATATGTATTCTTTTCAAATTAAGTATAAAGATTATGTCCCTGTATTATTATACAGGCGTCTATAATATGGAGTACTATGGGAATTTTTTCCCACTCAAAGTTTATGTATTATAGGATTAAAAAAAGGAAAAATTCACATTAATAATCCCAAACTATCACCTATCTTCTTATATTAATTTCAAATATTAATAATTCCAATATAATCCAAACTTTAAAGGATGTCTTCTCATAACAAAGTAACAAACTGGTGACCTACATGAACCAATTCAGTAGGTTACCTGAATATCATAATGCACTTCGGGAAAATTCGATTTTTCATTTTTTAAGGAATAATTCACAAGAAAAATTCACAAGAAAAATTCAACTTGCATCATGACTTGTTTTCTTTGTAATATTATAAGCGTCATACTCCTTAATTAATTCAACCTTCTAAAGCCAAATTAGCACTTGAAATCTTGAATATATGTGTCTTTTTGTAGATTTTGATATTATTTCTTGTACACAAATAAGCATCTTTCTTTAAATTTTTATATATTTTCTTCTCTCTTCTTATTCTCATTGATAATCCAGCCCTTTTCTTCTCATTACATTGTTGGTTTCTCATTTTCTTCTTTCATGTATCATTCTTAAACTTTTCTTGAACAGAATAATTAATTTTTTAATTGATGCCGCATAAGAAACACAACTCCTATAAGCAAGTAGTTTCAGTAATTTGTAATTAAAAAGGCAAAAAGTCAGAAAAGTAGTTACCTGAGGCATTCAATCTTCACTCTTCAGCCGTTCAAGCGACTCAGACAGTGAGGGCTGTGAGGCAGACAGGCACTCAGCTGGGCGGCCGGCGTCGATTCCAGTCTCCAGCGACTCAGTCTCACCGTGCGACGGTGAGACGCTGCGACTGCGGAGGCGTCAGGCGTGGACCATGGACTCCGGGAGGAGTGGCGCGGTGGCGGGCTGGCGGCGATCGAGGATTCGAGGGTGGAGGTGTCGTCGGTCCTGGCTGCAGTCAGCGCCAAAACCAGGGCCGTCTTCCGGCTTTCTCTTCTATATTTGCTTGGACCTGGGCTGGCAGCTAACTAATACGGAGTACTACTAATAAGTGATTTTGGGCCTTCAACATTTGGGGGGCCGAGTGAATTGGGCTGGGTACCCTGCTATTGGCGGGCCCTGCTCTTGTAGTAGTTGGCAGAACTACATGCCTGGTATCATGGTATGTATGTATTCGATCTTGTACTCGTGTGATGTATGGGATATTGTGTTACTCTATAAATTAGATAATGAAAATTAGATAATGATAATAATGCTTGAAGAACGTTTCTCACATTGGCCGTTTTATTTCATTTCAAAATTCTGGAGTATGAATTTAAGCTTAAAAAACCAACATTTAACTAACAATTACATAAGACTTACATGTATTCTTTGGGTTTTAAGGAGAAGAAAAGAAGCATCACAAACCATTTAATGATAGTATAGTAGCTGATTGATCCAAATTTTTTACTCAGCATGTGAGCCTTCAACAATTTGGCTCCAACAATACGCATTTTTTATTTGGAAATGCTTGATTTGCAAATAAGTTATACGTAGTATCTTATTTATGCTTTTGCGATATATTTTTTGCTACATAATTCGATATACTAAAACAATATTAAATATTAAAGGGCTATCAGTGTACCTAAAAATGTGTTATTATTATTATTATTTTTATTAAAGTTGTCTCTGAATTGAGTATGGTGGTAGATATTTTCTCACACCAATGTGAAAATACAATTGAATCATCTGAATGGCTGATATTTTGAATTAAACATTTATTTGAAAAATAGCTAAAATGATACTCCGTATTCTTTTGCAAATTCAACCAATTTAATTGGAAAAGCAATAATTTTAATTTACTTATTTTAATTATTATAAAATTTAGCAGATGAAATTAAAATTCAAGTGTTTGATAAAAAAATTTGACGAAAAAAAATTGTTAGATAATGGTGATAAAAAGAAAAATTTAACATTAAGTCTTGTTTTTCAAGAATCCAAGTACTTAATTGCACATCATCTCTATAAGGTTGGAACTTCTCAATAATTGGCAGATTATCCGACCATAACTCAAAACCAACTCCAAACCATCCCTAGTTACATTTGCGAATTGCATTCATACCGAGAAATTTCAACCCGACGTCCCGACTACCATTCTCTTGAAACTATCCTTCGCCTTTCACCTCTGGAAACTTTGACTACAATATGTTCCGCCCACTTACAAAATGCTGCCTTTTTTTATTATCAATATAATTAATGAAAATAATTGACAAATTTTTACATCGTAATAAAAACATACGGATTATTTATTATCAAGTGGTAACAAATGCCTTTGCCAAAAAAAAAAAGAGATAACAAATTGCATGTATGTGTACCTCCTTATGAAATACATTATCAAGACTTCTTATTTGACCTTCATTATAAACCCACCACTCTTACCTTTAAATACCAATGCGTTGCTTGAGCAGAGACATCTCTCAAAACTTCAAGCGTATGAGGTATCAATAATTCAATATAACACATAGGAAGTTATTGGTATTTTGAAAGCAAAAATAGCAACCAATTCTATCGAGAACAATCATTATCTATGCCAATGGTTTAAATAAGTAGAGGAAGTTATATTACTGCAACAGGGGAATAGGAGATTCATTGCTTGTGAAATAATAATTGGTGATCGAGCACAAGACTGTCCTTACATATTACAAATGCTATGTCTCGGCAAACCAAAAGGTCTCGTACAGCTTCTAGCCGGTTTTAGCACCATTTACGAAGCGTTATCAATTTATCATTGAACTAAACATTTAGGTTCAATTATTTATGAAGTTTGTCTAATTTCAAATTCGAAGCCTTTAGTAATTCGAAGCCTTTAGCCTTTAGTAATTCGAAGCCTTTTGAACTAAACATTTAGGTTCAATTATTTATGAAGAATTTGTCTAATTTCAAATTCGAAGCCTTTAGACTTGGCTGCTGCCCGCTAGTAAATATGGAGTATTAATTGTGGGGAAATGTTTTTCTGTTACGTGCAACATTGGAAGATGGAACTATGGAAGAACAGCCATCTCGTATATAAAATGCAAGTCTAATTAAATCCATTGTCACTATTAATTACACCAATCGGGTAGAATGTCTTATTGTCTTTAAATAACTAAACCAACCCTATAAAGCTAGCTACTATGTTCCCGCCCAAATGTCACTCTCACTATTTTGTTATTAGGGAAAACTGTCAAATAGGTCCTCGAACTTTCATAAAAAGATCAATTAAGTCCTTCTATAGGAGGTTCTGTCCGGCCGTCGCGATTTGGGGCAGTTCCCGGTGGAATTTTTTGATGAAATTTTTTAAGCATCTTATTCACCAAGTCTAGTTTACTCATACCAAATTTCAGCAAAAAATTCAATCGGGAACACATTCAAATTAATTCTTGAAGATAACTGCGCATTTTTGCGTTCTCGAATTAATTTGAATGCGCTCCCGATTAAATTTTTAACTGAAATTTGGTATGAGTAAACTAGACTTGATGAATAAGATGCTCAAAAAATTTCATCAAAAAATTCCACCGGGAACCGCCCCAAATCGCGACGACCGGACAGAGTCTCCTATAGAAGGACTTAATTGACTTTTTTATGAAAGTTCGAGGACCTATTTGACAGTTTTCCCTTGTTATTATATACTATAGATAGATATATAGATTATGTTTTTGTTCCAACCTTTTTGAACATATGTTGATTCAAGATGTCTTTTTTGTAATTCCCGTCTCAAACTGATTTACAAAGTTTTTTGTTTGATCAATTATTGTTAAAGTTAAATCATCTGATAATTAATTCAATTTTCAATAATTAAAATTTACATAATCAAAAACTACATTAAAGTTTTTTCAAAGTTGTAAGCTCCAAATTAGAATATAATTAAAAATTAATTCTACTTAACACAGTTAATAAAATGAAACTGTTTATTAAAAAATCAATTTTACAAATAAATTTGGAACATATCTGATACTACGTTTGTCCTAACATTGTGCATTTTATCTACTTAAGATGAATACTTCTATTTCTCGAGTTTTCATAAGCAAGTAAATCCCTACTTTGGCTATACAATATAGACTATGTAAACTAGTTGGCTACAATGATATTTTCACTATAGAGTTTTATCTTTACTCGTTGGTATTATTACTTAAGTTGATTAAACATAGTTTATTGATTTAACAAAATCAATCACAATGATATTTTCACTATAGAGTTTTATATTTACTCGTTGATAATATTACTTAAGTTGATTAAACATAGTTTATTGATTAAACATAGTGTAATCTTTACTATGTTGGTTATACAATAATTTATTTAGCTAACTTTCTAATTGACGATAAGTTGAAATTTTGTAGACATAATCTACACTTAATAAAAAACACGCTCACAAATTTTTATCAACAATTTCTTCAAGGAACTAACTCAAATGGAGGCGACTGAATGGAGGATTCTGTCTGAACGACTGTACATGTTAGTTTTTACAATGTTTTAACATTGAAATTAACACTTTTCCGAAAGTATCTTAAATATATAATAAAGTTTTGAAGTAGTAATATTTTATACTAACAATACTAAATTGAGATATAAAAATAATAAAAGGGAGAATTGGACACAAGTAGATTTTTATTTTTTATTTTCTTTTTCAATTTCAAATTTATAATATATTTTTTATGTGTTTTGAAATTAATTTTTTCTAGTTAAAGTTAATTAGGACAAATTTACTCTTTTATATGAATATTAAATTTATATATGCAACCTCACATAAATTTAAAGGGCATTTTATTTCAGAATATAAAATAAGAATATATCTGTCTTCACACTCATTTTTTTCATTTTTTTACAAGACCCTTTTCCAATTGGCCTTTTAAACTCTAGGGACATCATCAAAAATCAAAATGAGTGAATGGTACTCCTACTTGTAATTGTCTTCCTACCTTACTCACGATAAACAATCGAGATCATCTGTCAGTAATGTCGAACGAAAACACGCCGAACTCAGATGTTAACTCCGGCCCCGCCGCTGGCGGCGGAGTTGACACGACGCCTTTGCTCAGAGACCAGATCTTCCTCACCCGGCGACTCATGCGCCATTCTCCGAGCCTCCGAGGTGCGGCTCGGTTCCTCAGGAGAGCCAGCAGTCGTCGGATGATGCGGGAGCCGTCGATGCGGGTGCGAGAGGCGGCGGCAGAGCAAATCGAGGAAAGGCAGAGCGACTGGGCGTACTCGAAGCCCATCGTCATCCTAGATCTCATATGGAACTTAGCTTTCATCATAGTCTCGATCTCCGTGTTATTAATGAGTCGAAATGAGTCGCCTTCTATGCCTCTAAGGCTCTGGATCGTTGGTTATGCTTTTCAGTGTGTGCTTCATATGGTTTGTGTTTTCGTGGAGTATAGACGGCGCACACATCTTCGGAATTTACCTGAGAGTTTAATTTCTCGAAGGGTAAGCGGCAGCAGAGGTTGGAGCAGTGCGAATTCCAGCTCTGAAAGTGATGAAGAGACTGGTAATTATGCTTCAGAAAGGCGTCAGAATGAGGAAGAACCCAGGTATCATCTTTTATGTTTAGGGAGAACTTTGAGCGATAATTTGGTACCCGTTGATTCACTTTTTTATTTGTCCATTCTTATACTTCTTATTTGTATATTTTTATATCAACCGATTGATATCCAAAGCTATTGTCCCACACACAGCTAGCGCCATGAATTTCTAACTGGATTAAACACAGTGAATAGGAGAACTACTCAAATATTAGGAATAGGAGAAGTAATATATAAAGTGCTTTTCAGCCTGTTGTTTAGACTTTATGGTAATTGATATTATGAGAACATGATGTGCAGCTTGATTAAGCTGTTAATTTCCATTTATTGATGTAGGAAGTAGGAACTAGATAAATGAGGAAGGGTTCTATTCTCAAAGGCCAACATACTGTATTTTTTGCTATCCTAGGCTTGGTTCATTGATAATATTGATGTTCTCCTTAAGCTGCTAACATGTATTCAGCTCATGTAGTCATACTCCGTATTATATTATTTGAGAGACCATTTTTATCTACACGCTGAAAATTCATGTTAATGTTGCATCAATCATCACAAGACCATAATTTGGATTTGACTGCAAACTATCAATCATATATCAGATGTGCTAAAAATGTATGTTCCAAATAGAACATCATGAACATAGAATCAGGGGTGTAGTTGCAGGGTGATGGAGGATCTCCTCGGACCCCAGCCTACCTCAACTCAAGTTCAGAAAAATGTTTCTTATATATAATCTTTTTTACAATATATTTTAATATGAATGGATTGTCCCTTCCACCTCATGTTTGAATCCTCGTATCTAATTGAAACATGAAAAGGCTGTATTCCAAAACTTCACATCCAGTTATTGGATGTTATAGGCTGATATTCTGAAGATTCATATTGTGAAATACTGAAATGTGTGAGAGAAGCATTTCTTTTTGGAGAGAAATATTAAACAGTGGCTTCCTTGTTGTTCCAATCTCGCGTTGAAGGAATTTAACTCTTGTTGTAATGTGTGCATTCTAGTCTTGCAAAGCATCTGGAGTCTGCCAACACAATGTTCTCATTTATTTGGTGGATTATGGGATTTTATTGGGTATCGGCTGGTGGCGAGAGATTGCCCCATGATTCTCCTCAACTTTACTGGTATGCATGACATTCCTTGTTTTTACTTACTTAGTATAGGCTTCATCATAATTGATTTTTTTTGATGATCTTTGCAGGCTTTGTATTACATTCTTGGCATTTGATGTGTTCTTTGTTGTTCTTTGTGTTGCTGTTGCGTGTATTATTGGAATTGCTGTTTGCTGTTGTCTACCATGCATAATTGCAATCTTATATGCCGTGGCAGATCAGGTAATACATCAGGCTCTGTTTAGTAGCGTTATTCGGTAAAGCAGAATAAGTAGCTTGCCTTTTGATTTATTTAATTATCTAAATTGGATGGCAGCAAATACCTTCTTTCAGAAAATATAGCCTTTTCTTGCCAAATAACTCTTGACAATAAACGACCCCTTATTTGTTTTCCTTCCTTTTTTCTTCAAGCTCCTGCGATGGTGCTTCTTGGAGGGTGCTAGCATGTAGTATTTTCAAACCATTTCAAACATAGGCACCTTTAGGTGTAGCATGTAGTATATCTCATGTCATGCATTAGTTTCTCTCTTAAAGTTCTAAACTATGTATATAATAAAGTGTTCTTAGCATCTCACTGATCATAATCAGTAATCTGCAAATAGCTTACAAATCAGATATTCACTTTTGTAAGAGTACTTTGCAATTAGTATGAGTGTGTGTCATAGTATTTCTAGTTTGCAACTTGCAAGTATCATGGTGAATGGAACATGATTACATGAGTGATGATATAGAATGTGCAAAACTAGAAATTAAAGAAGGTAATGCGGCTTTTGCATTTTTTAAATCGTGGATTTTGTGATTAAGGCTGCGATGTTGTTGTATTTAGTCTCTCACTTGGACCTTTGCCCTCCGGTTTGGTCCCCTAAGTCAAAGCTGGATGGCTGCAACTGCTTTCAGAGTTTAGCCTTTAACTTTTACTCCCTTCGTCAAATTTTGTGAAGTACACTTTCCTTTTAAAATTGTCCCAAAAAATATGACCGCTCTCTAAGTTTTTACTTTCCAAGTTCATCCCTCTATCCATCATTTTGCCCTTCACTTTTTGTGAATCCATTTTCTCTTTCTTACTTTTTGAAGGTTAAAATCGTAAAAGAACCACTTTATCCTTTATTTTCTTAAAACCCGCACCAAACCCATATGCATCTTACATTATGGGTTGGAGGTAGTATTTCCTTATATGCACAAACACATACACACAGACACATACATATATGTATGTAGACATATACATATACATAGGTAGTTAGGTACATAAGAGAAGGGGAAACTCTAACCATAAAAATCTTTATAATTGTCCTTATAATCTACTGCTCTATAGGGATTTGATGCTAGTATTAAGTTTTTTGCTAAAAAATGCAGAAGGGATTTTCAAAAAGGTGTCGTATTCGTGCATCAAGAACCCCCCCCCCCCCCCATCCTGTATCAAATACTCTTGATATTTGCACCGTACATTCCTCGGCAGTTTGTTTAATGTTCCAACAGAGGCTGTATCTGTAATTTTTTTTAAAATGGACACAAATGCGTGTGTTGAGCACGTGTATCAAGTAAAAACAATCAGAATTCCTCTCATTGAGGTCTTACTCTCATATATTTGGTCATTAGGTTTGAAGTTGCAGCTAGAATAGAAACAAGATGTCAAAAGAAACACATGTAGAAAATTTTCACCCTCTTTTAGTACCCCCCCCCCCCCCCCCCATTTTTATCTGTTTCTTCTATGATACTATCCTCATATTTTTGTAGATGGAAGAATTTGTCTTGGTGCTTTTGAATTAGCTGTGGCATCTCCTTTTGAACTGCTTAAGTAATAAGTATATATCAAATCTCAATAATCTATTTCTAATGCAACAACAGGAGGGAGCAACTAAGGAAGACATTGAACAGTTGCCTAAGTACAAATTCAGGAAACTCGGTGATTTTGAGAAACAAAATGGCGAGATTCAAGAGTCGTTTGGAGGTGTAATGACTGAATGTGGTACAGATTCACCGATTGAACACGTTCTTCCCCTGGAGGATGCTGTAAGTCTTTTTAAAGCTGTGGCATTTTTTTTGTTCGGCAGATTTTGCAATGCATATTCAACTTTTCACCTAATTGCAACAAAGTTTTGTTGGTATATATGAACTGTTGAATGCGTGTGAGTATGCTTATGAATTGAGGAGTTTTAGACTATTTGTCCATTTGTAGGGATTTGGGATATAACTTAATTGATATAAATGGATATAAATAAGTAAAAAGTTACAGTTTATATCAAGTGTCATAGCTAGAGGAGGAAGTTGCAGAGGACCAGGTAAATTGGTGTAAGAAATTCATCCAAGTAAATTTTATAAATTTCCATGAAAAAAAATTACATGTAAAATGGTGTTTTTTTTATTACCAAAATTGAGGTCGGTCTGGACTCTGGACACGGGTTGCCCCCGGCTATGCCTATGTCAATAAGTTAAAGAAAATAATATCTTAAATGAGGGTAATTGGGTAAGTTTGATTCACTTCTGCTGTTGCAGCCTCAAAAACAAAAAACTTCTGCTTTACTTCCCCCACTTGTCAATAGATTTCTAAAGTAGCAAAATAAGATAGAGTGCATTTGAAATGATCTATTTTCGACGAATAAATGGTGTTTTAGAGGAATAAAAGTACTTTTAAGTTTCACTTAAAAGAAATGTTTGATAAGGAGACGGAAAAGGACACAAGGGCTGTTTACTTTCAGACTTAATGGACTTAATGAAAATGACGACTTAATCATTTAGCCATCAAGTCATGTTTACTTACGACTTAATTGCAAACATGACTTCATCATTCAGTCAACGAACCAGCTTAATCATTAAGCTGGAAAATAGTAGCCCCCATTAAGAATTATATTAAGACATCTTTTCTGTCAATTTTTTTAAAATGACTGTGGAATAGATTTATGTTAATAAATGAAGTTTCTCATTGACATTATAATCCAAGAATGGAGTACTAAATTAATTATTTTACTCAATTCATTCAAGACATAAAATAAACCGTCTCATATACAAACACCACTTAAATCAGACAAACATCTTAATCCATACAATACTTGATAGGAAAAAAGTAAACAGCCCCTTATAATGCTTATTTAAGTAAGCAGCAGATTGGTTTTATATTTCGAAAATGCTATTTAGTGTGTATGTATCAGAAAGCACTTACATCATTAGTTATCCCAAACAGGCTCGTAGTCTTTCACTGAAAACATGACTGATTAGGTTGGTAATAAAATAGGTGTTCTACCAAATAGGTGCTAAAATGGCCTTAATTTATTATTATTTTGAACACAGGAATGTTGTATCTGCCTCTGCCCCTATGATGATGGCATTGAACTTCGCGAGCTTCCATGCCGCCACCATTTTCATTGTGCCTGTATAGACAAGTGGTTGTTCATAAATGCCACATGTCCTCTCTGCAAGTACAATATTCTCAAAAATGGTGACCAAAGTGGTAGGGAAGATGTGTAAGATCTTCTTAAGGAAAAGCTGCTGTGCATACCTCTGTCAACTAAGTTGTTAAATGTAACTTTCACATGCTTAATAGCAATGCATGTGTTCAGTGTTCTATCACTGGGAATGCCTTGCTCTCGTGTATACATACATACAATTATATAAATATAAATATATTTTATATTCTCCATTGTCCTTTTTTAATCTTCATGTGTTTTCTGGAATGTTCCTAGATAAAGTCATTTTTCCTTATTTGTTTTTTTATTATTATTTACTTTACTATAAAAGAAATATTAACATTTTTTTTGTAAACTGTAGTGGTATATTGTCAAGCTCTTTAAAAGCAGTACCCTGTATGGTGTATACTACTACGTAATATTTATCCCCATTAAACGGGTTATACGTGCAAGAGAAAAACAGTGTTTTTTGTTATACATGCATAATATTGTACAATTGTACATGAGCTGTTAGTTGTGCTTACCGTCCCATTTCAGTCAACAATATCATCACAATCCCCCATTGCTGTGAATCCTGTGATACATGCATAATATTGTACTCTGAGTAATTATGGTCAGTCCAGACAGATTAGAACCGACATGTAGGGGTGGACCGGACCGGTTCGGGCCCGGGCCCGGCCGGGCCTCAGTTCAGGAATGGGAGGCCCAGAACCGGCCCGGGTAATCCCGGGTCCGGGCCTCGGTTCTATTTTTTTTTTGGCTTTTCCTAATTAACCCCCAACCCTCCCCCCCTCACCCCCAAACCACCCCAAACCACCTCAAATGGCCCAAAATACCCAGTCCAACCCAAAAACTTAAAAAAAAATTCAAAAACAAAAAAAAATAATTTGGCCCGAACCGGCTGGCCGGCCGGTTCACCAATCCTAGGGCCCGGGCCCGAACCGCATTCCTACCGGGCCGGGCCGACCCGAACCGCCCCCTGGACCGGTTCCTGGGCCGGGCCGGTTCAAATAGTAACCGGGCCGGGCCGGTTCCTGCCCGGGCCGCCCGGGCCGAGTCCATCCCTACCGACGTGCGGCCAAGCCCGTTTCGGAAGTGTTAGAATGTTTTTTTTATAAAGTGTAGAACATTCACACCAAATTTCATAAAAAAATTCAACCCATAAGGCCCTCAAACAAGCTTGGCCGCACGCCGGGCGCACGGCAGTTGTAGTCAATCCGGACTGACCAAAATATTACTGATTACTCTATTGCACTGTGCCTTTTTAGTGCAAACTGTCTTTACTTGATGATTCATAGATGAATTTTCTTTAGCTCCTTAAGCCGCATAAGAGGTAATTAACAGCCATTTTCTTTGGTGACTGGCGTTTGCGCTAATTAAGCTCTAATTTAAGCACTGTTTGAAAACATACAAAAATAAAAGTAACTTCTGAAAGTAGACACTAAAAAATGCATAAAAAATACTCCGTAGATAAATAACTCCCGGAGAGTAGTTGCATCTCTAGGGACATGTTTACTTCACAGGTTACTAAACGGTGCTTACTAAGACCCGCGTTAATAAGCGGCGCATAAAATAAGCAATGTTGTAAGATCATGTTTACTTCAAAAAGTTTAAAACATCGTTTAACATTAAAATGTTCAAAATAACCTTATGCATATATAGACACACAAACATTCATCAACACAAGTATTATGTGTACCACCAACCCCTTACCCCCACACTATCTTATCCTGACTCCACGTCCCCTATACCCTTTAGGCCTTTACCACCACACCCCTACCCCCTACCACATCAGCCCCACCCCGACCCCACCCTAACCTACTCCTACCCTACCCTACCTTACCTTGACCCCACCACTACCCCGTCCTCGACCCCACCCCTACCCCTAGGGTGGTAAGGGGGGTAAAGGGTAAGGGACTAAGGAGTAGGGGTTGAGGTGGTGCCAATGTGGTAGTGGTAGGGTGTTGGGTAGGGTCGTAAAGGGCCTAGGGGTAAGGGGTAGGGGATGGGTTGGGGTAAGGGGTAGGACAGGGTGGGGTTGGGGTGGGCCCGCTGGGGTAGGGTGGTAAGGGCCTAGGGTAGGGTGGGGTCAGGGTTAGGGCCATTGTGTTAGGGGCCTAGGGGTGGGGGTTGGGGTCGGGTAGGTAGGGTAGGGGGGTAGGGTGAGGTTTGGGTAAGGTTAGGGTATGGTGGGGCCGATGTGGTAGGGTTTGTGTATGTGGTAAGGGCCTAGGGTTTGAGGGCAGTGTAGGGTATTAGTAGGTAGGGGTGGGGGGGGTGGGGTCTGGTAGGTAAGGTAGGGGTAGGTTAGGGTTTAAGGTAGGGTAGGAGTAGGGTAGGATAGGATATGGTGGGGTATTGTGGGGCCAATGTGGTGGGGGGGTAGGGGGTTGGGGGTAAGGTGGTAAGGGCCTAGGGGTAAGGTGGGGTGGGGTTGGGGTTGGGGTAAGGGTGGGGTCGGGATTGGGTGGGGCCGAGATAGGGGTAGGGTATGGATCGAGGTGGGGGTGGGTTAGGGTCATTGTAGGGAAAAGGGGTACGCAGGGTGGGGGTGGGTAATGGTCGATTAGGAGTAAGGTACGAGGATGGATGGAGGTAGTGGGTAGGGTGGGGGTCGGGGTAGTAGGGGTAGGGGGGTAAAGATGCCCCTACCTCGGCTCCACCCAGATCCTGGCCCACCCCACCGCCATCCTACTCCACATAGGGTGGAGTCGGAGGTGGGACCGACATGGTAGGGGGTAGGGGTTGGGGGTTGGGGTAGGGTGGTGGTGGGGGGAAGGGTAAGGGGCAGGGTGGGGTCGGGGTGGTGCCATTGTGGTAGTGGTAGGGTGTTGGGGGTAGGGTGGTAAAGGGCCTAGGGGTAAGGGGGTTAGGGTAGGGGTGGGGTCCGGGTAAGGTAGGTTAGGACAGGTGGGGTCGGGGTGGGGCTCGCTGGGGTAGGGGCCGTAGGGGTGGGTTGGGGTCAAGATTAGGGCCAATGTGATAGGTGGTAAGGGGCCTAGGGGGTGGGATCGGGTACCCGAGTAGGGTGGGGGTAGGGTGAGGTCGGGTAAGGTAGGGGTAGGGTGGTGTAGGGGTTAGGGAGTAGGGTGGGGGCCAATGTGGTAAGGGGTAGGAGGGGATAGGGTGGGGTCAGGTTGGGGCCGATGTGGTAGGGTTGGGGTAGGTGGTAAGCTACTAGGATTTGGGGGGTGGGGTAGGGTGGGTAGGGGGCAGGGGTGGGGGGGTCGGGTAGGGTAGGGGTTAGGGTCGGGGTAAGGTTAGGGTAGGAGTAGGGTAGGATAGGATATGGTGGGGTCTGGTGAGGCCGATGTGGTGGGGGGTAGGGAGGTGGTAAGGGCGTGGGGGTAAGGTGGTAAGGGCCTAGGTTGGTGTGGGTAGGGGTTGGGTCGGGGTTAGGGGTAAATTCGGAAACTGAAAAAGCTTAAAGTGCCACTTGATTAATACATGGGGGTGGTATTCTTAGTAAGCGGCACTTTAAGCACTTATTTCGGTTAGTAAGCGGCTTTTTAAGCAGCGTGCCTGTTTACTTCACTTGTGTTACTAACCTAACCGTGACTTTAGCAGCGAAACAAACGCCTCCTAGGTGTGTTGAATGATATGTAGAGGATCGTCGGTAAAGCTCTCTTTAGCCAACGCTGTTGAAACAATAAACGTGTTAAGGGTGATGTCATGATCTAGACCACATTTATCTTGTAGACTATTTCAGTCCTTCATACTTTGTTATGGTTTTGTCGTTTTGAGAATCGAGAGATTTATGGATAAAATGCAGTTGCTTGAAGAAAAAAAGACGCAAAAAAAAAAAAGAAGAAGAAAAAAAGACGCTTCAAATTAGGAGTGGGTTCCGATTTTAGAATTAGACCGAACGGATAAATGGATTAGATATACAGTGAACTTGTTTTTTTCTTCCGAATTTGGACCCAACCAGTCAAAATAGGACTAGTACCAACTCTTTGGTTTAAAACACTTATTATAACTTTTGTCCATTCTGTAATCATTTTGAAAGAGAAAATTTAAGAATGGATACAATATCTCTTTCAGTTTAAAGTACCATACTAGGAGTAAATTGAGTTTGAAATTCCATAATAGGACTATTATGTTTTTATTTCTGAAATAGGACTAACATGACAATATTTAGTGTTATTAATTAATGACAATATTTTTCAATCTTGACAGTATTTTTCATACATGGCAGTGTTAGTTTTTCTCATTAGTTACGTTTTATTTAATTAATATTTTATTATTAATTATTCAGAAAATAAAGTACATTTATTTAAGGGGAAAAACTAATCTGAAGTGGTCCATTTATTAGACAAGTATTACCCATTATTTCCCCAACTAAGTAGAGAAGATCGGTAACTTCTCCCTATTCTTTTGCCGCACGATTGGAGCTCTTTGATTGGAAGAACTCGATAAATACCAGCGGCTTTTGACTCTTGTTTTACCCCCTGAGTCTGCTCCTCACTATTAGTATCCACACCATCAAAATTGAGTGAAGAGAAGGGCTTGGAAGAGCAAAACAAGAAGGGCAGTTCACTGTGTTCTTCAAGGAGATGGCTGGAGGTATGTATTGTCTATATCCTGCTTCCGCTTACTTCTATACTGATCTGAATATGTGCAGTATGTGTATAACATGTTTAGATCAGTTTGTTCTTTCAGATAGTAACAACTCTTATTTCAGAAAGAAAAACATAGTAGTCATATTGTACATGAAATTCCAAACCTCATTTGGTGCTATTTAGGGCAATTTTCCCTTAACACAAACATATTAAAGTGACCTTTTAACAGGATCTAAGCCTCTTTGAAGTAACTTGTCCAGAAGTTTGCCTGGAATCTTGACTTAAACGTGTTTACTTGTCCAGTTCAAGACTTCAAGGTAAGGTACAAGGGAATATAATTTTTAATCATGTATGTAAACCATTCTGGTCTTAGTTCCAATCATGTTAAATTTTCTTCATCTAGACCTTATAAATTGAAATTCTTGGAACTGTTTCAACCATGAACCATACGAGTATTTAAAGAACAAGAATGAATAAATAAACTAGGAGGCAAAAGAAATGTGAATAAATAAGCATAAAAACAAACAATTATTAAATTGATCGATCATTTAGTTAGAGCCTTATCTTGCATTGTATTGAATTATGGAATTCCTCTACAAGATTATGACAGCTCTATTCATATTGATCTCATCCAATAACCAATACAATAAACCAAAACTTCAATGGAAGCTGTTTAAGCACATATATTGCATGTATGTAACTGAAAGTTTTAATTCCATCAACTATATATTTATTGCATAGATCATAATTCGTAGATGAGTTGCACATTTTAAAGTGATAAAAAATAAAAGAGTGTTTTCTTTGGAGAGAAGAACGAGTCCTGTACGGCTGCACCCTAGACTCCTAGAGTAAATATTTGGGTTCAATCTCTTGAAATATAGAAATGGGATAAAATCTCACAAAATAAGCAAAAATGAGTAAGAATGAAAGAAATAATACTACGTAGTTCTTTGTAGATCAAGTTGTTTGAAATTCAAGCCTTCCA